GGATGCTGTGTGTGTGTGTAGATACTGTGTGTATGTGGATGCTGTGTCTGTGTGGATGCTGTGTGTGTGTGTGGATGCTGTGTGTGTGTGGATGCTGTGCGTGTGTGGATGCTGTGTGTGTGGATGCTGTGCGTCTGTGGATGCTATGCGTGTGTGGATGCTGTGTGTGTGGATGCTGTGTGTGTATGGGGATGCTGTGTGTGTGTGTGGATGCTGTGTGTGTGGGTGCTGAGTTTCTGGGTTTCATGGGTTCCTCACTGTCCTGTGCAGCAGAGTTCATGGGCCTCCTGCTTTGACAGAGCCCGTGGGTCTCATCTCTTTGTGTGTGGGGGGGACTGTGGTGTGGGGTGTCTGGGTGTGACAGTAGGGGAGCCTTGGCTGAGTCTGTAGCAGGCCTGTGTCTCTGGGTGTGGTCCACTGTCTGCATCTTGTCTCCTGTCCTCTGCAGGGCGCCTTCAGCCGCTGCTACAAGCTCACGGACATGTCCACCAGCGCGGTGTTCGCCCTCAAGGTGGTGCCAAGGGGCGGGGCGGGGCGGCTGCGCCTGCGCGGGAAGGTGAGACAGTCATCTCACACACACACACACACACACACACACACACACACACACACACACACCTGTCCAAAACCTGTCCCAGGGCTGCCCTGCTTCCCTCCTTGCAAGCGACCCAGGCCTGGGGCCTGTCGCCTGCACCGCAACTCAGGGACCTTCATGGGGACACAGGTGGAGCGTGAGATCGCCCTGCACAGCCGTCTGCGCCATCGCAACATCGTGGCCTTCCACGCACACTTTGCAGACCGCGACCACGTATACATGGTGTTGGAGTACTGCAGCCGCCAGGTAGCCGTGGGCCTGGTGGGTCGGGCAGGGCTTCGTGTGTTGGCTCTGGGTTAGCTAAACCAGGCAGTGTTGAGCTGTGTTGAGCCCCCTGTCGCTTGAGGGGGTGACTGGGGTGAGGCCTGGGTCAGGCCACGCCACTGAGAGCCAGACAGGCCTGTTGTCTGTCCTGTCTGTGTCTCTAGGTCCCCGTAACTACCGGTGTCTCCCTGTGCCCACGCCATGTCCACTTCCTGCCCTCTGTCCACTCACTAGCGTCCCCTGGTCCCCACACATGGCCTCCTGCACCCACCTGGGCCCACAGCCTCAGCCGTGCTCGCCCTGGCCGAGCGGGGTTTCCCTGGGCCCAGGTGTGAGCACAGAATCCGCAGCCCATCTATTGAGTGCCAGGTCCCCCGCAGTCCCTGGCTCACGTGCTGAAAGCGCGGAGGACCCTGACTGAGCCTGAGGTGCGCTATTACCTTCTGGGACTGGTCAGCGGCCTGCGCTACCTGCACCAGCATCGCATCGTGCACAGGGACCTGAAGCCCAGTAAGCACGAGAAAGGGACTTTTGGGGTGCTACGAGAGTGGCGAAGGACTGGGGGGCTATAATGCTCCCATGCCACCCGCAGGTAACTTCTTCCTTAACAAGAACATGGAGGTGAAGATCGGAGACCTGGGGCTGGCTGCCCGGGTGGGGCCCACCGGTCACTGCCACAGGTAAAGGTGGGAGGTTCTGGTGGTCCCGAGTGGGGCCAGGAAGTCCCCGCCTTCCTGAACCTCCCATGGTTCCCCTCCCAGGGTGCTCTGCGGAACCCCAAACTTCCAGGCTCCTGAGGTGGTGTCCCGCAATGGGCACTCCTGCAAGTCTGATATCTGGGCTCTGGGCTGCGTCATGTAAGAGTGAGCCTGACCGGGTCTGGGGGAGACCGGGTGTGGGCAAGGAGAGCGAGCATGGGGGTGGGTGTGTATGCACACACTGGATGTTCGCATGGCACTCCTGGCTCTGAACTCACAGAGATCCCCCTGCCTCTGCTTTCCCAGTGCTGAGAGTAAAGATGCATGCCTCTTCACCCAGTGAGCACCTAGCCCTTAATGTCCAGGCTTGGATTTCTGGTCCCATGCTGGGTGCTGCAGCATGAAAGCCCTGGATGCCATCCCAGACCACGCAAGCCAGGCATGGCAGTGCACACTTGTCATTGCCAGACCGGGGGAGGTGACGCAGGTCACAGGGGAGGTGGACGCAGGTGGGGGGCAGCCAGCTGGAGTGTATCTTGGGCAGGGATGGAGCCAGGGTAGCGGAGTCGGGCTGGGCTGGGCTGGGCTAGGTGTGTAGAGAAAGGTGTGAACTCCCAGAGCTGGGCACTTTGTGACTAACTTCTGCCCCGACTGCCCGGCTGCGCAGGTACACGGTGCTGATGGGCACACCCCCCTTCGCTGCGGCGCCCCTGTCGGAGATGTACCGACGAATTCGGGAAGGCCACTATCTGGAGCCCGCTCACTTGTCTCCCAGCGCCCGCAGCCTCATCGCGCGGCTCCTGGCCCCCGACCCTGCTGAGCGGCCCAGCCTGGACCACTTACTCCAGGATGATTTCTTTACTCAGGTGAGGGGGTGCCCCCCGGGTGAGCCCCTGGGGACCAGGGACCGTCTAGATCCAGGGATGACCGCAGCTCACTGACTCCCAAGGGCTTCACTCCAGAGCGGCTGCCTCCACATTCCTGCCACAGCCCGCCCGGCTTTGCCTTCCCACCACCGCTGGGCAGATTGTTCCGCAAAGTGGGCCAGCTCCTGCTGACCCAGTGCCGGCCACCTTGTGAGTAGCTGTCCCCTAGCTTGTCACAGCCTCTCACCTGCCTCAGGCCTGCCATCTGTCTCCCTTCCACGGGCGTGACCCAGGTGGGAGAGGATGGCAGGAGCGATTGTCATCATTGTTCTCCAAACCTGTGCTTCCCTCAGGTCCCTTTACCTCAAAAGAGCCTTCAGGTCCTGCAGAAGAAGGGACGGAACCTGACCACGTGGAGTCCAGCAATGAGGTGAGCAGTTCAGTGAGGTCTACAGGGAAGAACTCCTAGTTTCTTGAAGCCCCGGACTTGCATCCTTCCACCTAGAGACCCCAGACCTTGAACCCTGCCAGCTCTGAGTCACACCTCCTCCCCTCACTGGAGATTGAGGCTCCACCCTGACCACGCCCCTAGCCCCTCACTGGGGGTTCTGGGCGGGGCTCCACCCTGACCACGCCCCCAGCCCCTCACTGGGGGTTCTGGGCGGGGCTCCACCCTGACCACGCCCCCAGCCCCCTCACTGGGGATTCTAGGCGGGGCTCCACCCTGACCACGCCCCCAGCCCCCTCACTGGGGGTTCTAGACAAGACTGCTTCAGTTCCAGTCCCAGCTGTCCCTCACCCTCACGTTTGGAGACCACGGGACCCTGCTCACATCAGTTTCACTACATTTGTTGAGTGCTTGCTCCATGACTGTGCAGCAGGCAAGTTTTGTCTGAAAAGGAAGCCTGTTCTGTGTGTAAAGTGGCTCTGGGGGCTCCCTCAGGAACGGGAGGTACATTAACCTCTGCTCTCTCCCAACACCTCTGTCTCAGGACAGGGCTCCTGTCTGTGCTGAGAGTCCAGTACTCCTCACACTCGGGACGCTGCAGACCAGCCTAGCAGGTGAGCAGCAGCGAGCCTCGCCCCGGCATAGGCATATGCCGAGGACTCGGTCGGAATAGGGACGCCCCTGTGTCCTAACGAGGGCGACAGCCGCGCTGGCCTCAGTTTGTCCACCTGTAAAACGTAACAAACACCCGGGATAATCAGGGTTTGATATAACACCTTTTGGGAGGGCAGGTGTGGGGACCCTGCTGATGGGGGGAGAGGGGACCCCCCTCTTTGGTGGATGTCCAGTGCTGTCTGGGCACCTGTGTGACTCTGTCTTAACAGACCCAAAGGGGAGCTTGGCTCTTCAGGTGGAGGCTGCGACCAGGAAAATGCACCTATGCTTGGATGCAGGACCTGTGGGTATGGCAGCCAGAAAAAAGTGGAAGGCTGAGGGGGCCTAGAAGCGCCTAGCCCAGGCCCACCGCATCCGGACCCTAGCCCAGCTCCCCCCCCCAGCCCTGCCCCTCCTCATCCTACCCCTCCCAGCCCAGTTCCTGACCCTGGCTCTTTTTTCTCCCCTTCGGCTCAGCTGCACAGGAACCCCCGGGGGAGCAGCGGCCCGTCCTCTGGGCTCCCAAGTGGGTGGATTATTCCCTCAAGTACGGCTTTGGCTACCAACTGTCTGACGGGGGCAGTGGCGTGCTGTTTCGGGATGGCTCCCACATGGCCCTGCGCCCCCAAGGAGGGTAATTGCTGGGACTCCTAGCCCCAGGGAACCAGTTCTACCCGACCACCTGTGTATGGGGTGTCCGCCAGGAGGAGAGCTCAGTAACACAAATGAGGGAGTTGGTTTCCTGTTCTTTACCACATGAGGAAAACCAGTTGAGGTGGGAGAGGGGACTGTTGGGTCACTGGGGAAGCCTTGTTCCTGGAGAACAAGATGGTGGCTCAGTAGACAGGAGTGCTCACCTGGCATACGCAAGGCCCAGGGTTCCCTCCCCATCACAGTGTGAACAGGCAGTGGCCCACACCTGTCGTCCCAGCACCTTGAGGTAGAGGCAGGGGGATCAGGAGTTCAGTTGCCATCCTCAGCTACAGAGAAAGTTCAAGGCCAGCCTGGGCTAGTGAGGCTGGGAAGCACAAGGTCTCCAAACACAAAGGAGCTGACATCAGACCGCGTCAGGCTGAGTTTGGCAATATGGAACCGACTCACACTGTGTGTGACAAGAAATGATGGTGTGCCGGATCTCGCGTGCATGAAGAAGCCAGAGGCCCGCACCAGCATTCCTCATGACTCCTCCTCCTATTCTTGACCTAGGAGTTCTCATTTCCCCTAGGCTGGCTGGCCAGTGCGTCCCAGGGATCCTCCTGCCTCCCCTGGGGTTACAGACCTGTGCCACCACACCTGGCTTTTACCTGGGTGCTGGGATTCCCAACTCAGGTTCTCATGCCGAGCCGTCTCCTTGGTCCCGTGACTCGTTTCTGTTTTTCTTTTGGTTGGGGACGGCACCGAGAACTTTGGGGATGTCCTCGGCTACTGAGCCCGCCTCCCAAGCACCACAGTGTTCTTGGTGTGAGAGGCCTCTGGGCTGGCCAGGGTAGTGGCCGTTTCTGTGGAGACAGACGAGGAGCAGACCCTGATGTAGTTGGCCTATGAAAGGTGCTTCTGGGGTGGTCAGTGCCCTGACTGACCACCAGTCAGAGTTATATGCAGCACAGTGATGCTTGGGTAGCAATGAGGTTCAGCTACAAGGGAGGACCGCCCCCAAGCATAGGTCATCCAGGACAGAGACTCATTCAGGCCCCTGGTCCCCAGCCATGTCTCCTACCAACCTGACCAAGGGACTCTGTGGACCTTCACCCTGAGGGACGTCCCCAGCCCGCTGCGTGCCAAGCTGGCTGTCCTGAGGCTCTTTGCCTGCTATATGCAGAGGCGTCTGAGGGAGGTGAGGGCCTGGAGTGGGGGAGGAACAGGAGAGGGAGGTGTCCATCCAGAGGACCCTGACCAGCATGTCCCCACAGGAGGGGACTGTGTCCATGGCTGTGGCACCCGCTTCTCCTGACTTCTCTCTGCTGAATTTCATTGCCGATTCCCAGGCACTGGTTATGTTGTTTAGCAATGGGACCGTGCAGGTAAGCGACCAGAACGGCAGGCTTTGACAGCTTTCAGGACACCAGGGACTGTGTGGCCTCTGAAAGAATATGGAATCCAGAGGTCACATCCTGTGTCCTCAGCCCAGTCAGAGCCAGGGAGCAGCCCCCTGCCCTAGGGAATCCTGGGTCTCTGGGCACAGTGAAGTCGAGGGGGCTAGGGCCTGGGATGGAGCCGAGGTGCCCTGAAGAGTCGCTGCTGGGGCTCTGCCTGAACCTGGGGCTGCTCTGGGCATAGGGAAACACGAACGATAACAAAGACAGGGGATGTTTGTGATAAGGACACTCGAGAGTTCAAGATCGTCCTTGGCTATATAGAAACTTTGAAACCAGCCTTTACCGGGTCGAAGGAAAACAAAAAGAATGAAAGAGACTAAAGGATGGGCAGGCGAGATGGCTAAAGACGCTAAAGGCGCTAACGGCGCTTGCCTCCAAGTCTGACGACCCAAGTGCAATCCCCAGGACCCACACGGCAGACAGGGCCGACCCCAGCATGTTGTCTTCTGACGGTTCCGTGTGTGCCATGACAAACACATGCATAAATACACACAAATAGTAAATTAAAACGTAAGAAGAGAGAATGAGGGGAACGCGTGTGTTACCGGGTTGAGGTGGCTGGGGTGGGGAATCCCCGGTTGAGACCATTTCTGTTGGTTTCATGGAGCCCTTGGCCTCCAGTCTTGACTCTCACAGGTGCAGATCCTGTGCCAGTGTTTGTGCCGATCCCCAGGGTCAGAGCTGGGGCCAGTATGGTCGACTCTGGTCACCTTGATCTTAAAGTCACTCTCTCCCAGGTCAGCCTCAGGACATCCCAAACCCAGCTGGTGCTGAGTGGGGAAGGCGAAGACTTTCTGCTCACCCTCTGGGCGCCGGGGAGGCCCGGTAAGGGCAGCTCCTACTCTTTGGACGTCCTACGGAGTCATGGCTGCACTCCCGCCATGCACCAGCACCTGCGCCACGCACTGCGCCTGCTCCACGGTGTCTAATGAGTCAGAAGGTCTGACTGAACCTCTGCATGTTGGTGCTGGGCTCTGTCTGCTTCTGTCGGCTTCCGCTGTACAGTTGGCGTCCATGGAGGGCGGACACATTGGGGTCTTTATGGTACGACGATTTAAGATAGAATCTTGTTGGGCCCTGTTGGATTTTCATTAAAAAATAAAAATAAAAACATTAAAACAAAACCTGTCGCTATAAGTTGGCGTCTAACTCATTTTGTTTGTTTATTTTAGATTTATTTATTTTCTGTGCATGAATGTTCTGCTTGCATGCAACTCTGGGCATCACGTGAGTGCCTAGTGTCTGTAGAGACCAGGAGAGGGTGTCAGGACCCCACACCACACCTCTGGAACTAGAGTTACAGGTGGTTGTGAGTCACCATGTGGGTGCTGAGAATCAAATCTGGCTCCTCTGCCAGAGCAACAAGTGCCCTCAACTACTGAGCCGTCTCTCCAGCTTTTTGCTGTTCTTGTTAAAAATCAGGGTGACCTGTAGCCCAGGCTGGCCTGGAACTTGTTGTGGAATATTTGTTTAACGATGCAGAGATGTTTTGTCTTTAGCTATGTAAATATGTGCTGCACTTGTTCAATTATGTAAAGATGTGTTGCTGTTTTACCTTGCCTGCCTAAGGCCCATGACTGGTCTAATAAAAAGCTGAACAGCCAGTAGCAAGGGAGGAGGTATAGGCAGAACTTCCATGCAGGCAGAGTAAATAGGAGGAGGAACTTAGGCTCAGGAAGAAAAAAGAGACAGCAGGGGCCAGACAGACAGGGTGGAAGCAGGAGAGCGGACACAGAATGACAGAAAGGTAAAACGTAGATGAAGAGAAACAGGTTAGACTGAGTTAAAAGAACTGATGGGCCGACCGGGCGGTGGTGGTGCACGCCTTTAATCCCAGCACTCGGGAGGCAGAGGCAGGCAGAGCTCTGTGAGTTCGAGGCCAGCCTGGTCTACAAGAGCTAGTTCCAGGACAGGTTCCAAAGCTACAGAGAAACCCTGTCTCGAAAAACAAAAAACAAAAACAAACAAACAAAAAAGAAATGCATGCCTGTTATCTGGCACTTGGCAGGCTAAGGGCACATCTTAGAGCCCTTACTCCCTGGGAGGACCTGAGGGGTGAGGAGAGGGGGAGGGGCACTCTGTTAGACAGGGGCTGAGGCAGGGTTGAGGGAGGGTCGATGAGCGGGGCCGAACGAGGGGCAGGACTGGGGCGGGGCGGGCTGATGGCTGAGGATGCTCCTGATAGATATAGATACGCTGTGGTTTTATTGGAAGAGGGCAGGGAGATCAGCTGTTCTCTGTGGATGTTGGGGGAGAAGGTTGCAAGCGAAGGTGGTGGGTGCTCTGGATATAAAGGTCTTCCTTGGCATAGATTGGAGGAGGAAAGGGATCTGCATGGAGCAGGGTGGGGTTGTCGGGGGCCCTGGGGACGAGAGAGAAAGGAAGTGTGGAAGAGGCGCAGTCAGGAAAGTATCAGTGGAGCTCAGGGAGGTGTCTCCTTTGGTTGACGATTCTTCAGCACAGCTCCGTGAAGACACAGCTGCCAGCTTCCTCCTCATCTACTCCAGCTCTGGAGGCTCCTCTCCCATCAGTTCCCGTCATGGGGTCCCACACTGTGCGGGCTGCCGCCTCCGGTCCTCTCACTAAGCCCAGTGTCCTGGAGGTCCCTCCATGCCATGCTCAGAGTCTCAGTCCTGTTCAGATGCACTGGGATCATCCTCTGTTGGAAAGGTCTAGAAACAAACAAAGGCAAGGATTCTCTGTCTCTACGCCTGTCTCTCTCTCCCTGTGTGTGTGTGTGTGTGTGTGAGTCCCAGCCTGTCTTAGTTAAGGTTCCTATTGTTCTGAAGAAACACAACGTCCATGGCAAGTCTTACAAAGGAAAACGTGTCATTGGGAGGTCTCGTTTACAGTTTCAGAGGTTCGGTCCATTATCGTCATGGTGGGCCATGGCGGCATGGTGGCAGACGTGGTGCTGGCTCCATCTTGATCAGAAAGCAGTGGGAGTGGACTGTTTCACTGGATTGTCCTGAACACATATGAGACTTCAAAGCCCGCCTCCACAGTGACACACTTCCTCCAAAAAGACCCCACCTCCTAACAGTGCCACTCAGTTTGGTACCCATTTTCTTTCGAACCACCACATGGCCACCCCATCTTTTAGGCCAGCACTTACTGTTATGCGCAGATCTACAAAGCCTCCCAAAAACCAACTAGGAGACCGAGTCCCTTACGTAAAAACAAAGAGCCTTTACTCTACTCAAATTCCAACTCTCTGTGTCCAACACAAGGGCGTGATCTGAGGGCCCCGAGCTCAGTTAGGGTGAGGCATTTCTAAGGTTTGGGACCCTGACTGGCTGACAGTGCACAGACAAACACGCAGGCGATACACTTATGCCCACAAAATAAGGATAAACACAGGTTGTGCTGGCACATGCTTGTCATCCCAGCACTCAGGAGGCTGAGGCAGGGGGATCTCTGTGAGCTCAAGGCCAACCTGGTCTACAGAAGGAGTTCCAGGACAGCCAGGGCTACACAGAGAAACCTTGTCTAGAAAAGTCTAAAACCAAAAAAACCCCACAAGATCTCTCGCCTCTCCCTGTGGAGGCCCTGGGTTCCTTTGTCAGCTGCGGCCACACTTCTGCCATTCCCGCCATCTCGGTGCCCTGGAGGTGGGGGCAGGAGGATCAGCTTCAGGTACCATAGTGAGTTCTAGGACAGTCTATCTCAGAAAGAGAGCAGGGAGAACGAGGGAGGGAGGAAGCCGGGTCTAGAATGTGCTGGAATCCCAAGAGCTCAGTGCCCAGAAGAATAAAAACCACCTCTTCTGGTTTTGTGTGCCCACCACCAAGGCCCGGTGTAGAGCTCATCGGCCAGGCCTAGATCACATGACCTTACCCTCCACACCCTCCTGGACTAGGTGGTAAATTGACACTGGAATTGACGTCATAACCTCAATTAAAACCTATTCTCCCCCCCCCCCCGTCCATCCTCCCTCACTCTCTCCTTCCCTTCCAATCTCTCTCTCTCTCTGTCTCTCGTCCTGAAACTTACTCTGTAGACCAGGTTGGCTTGAACTCGCAGAGATCCTCCTGGCTCTGCGTTCTGTATCTGGGATTAAAGGTGTGCACCACCATGCCCGCCAAAATCCATTTCTTTTATTCTTACTTATGTTTATGTGTGAGCGTGTATGTTATCAGCATGCAGTACCAGCAAAGGCCAGGAGGGGGCGCCACCGTCCTGGAGCTGGATTTACAGGCGCTGTAAGTCACTAGGTGGGTGCTGGCTAGGGAGCCCAGGTCCTCAGGACTAGCAGAAACCACTCCTTACCCCAACCACACCTGCGGTCCCACCCCTTTACCCCAGCCACGCCTGAAGCCCCACCCCTCCACCCAGCCACGCCTGCAGCCCCACCCCTCCACCCAGCCACGCCTGCAGCCCCACCCCTCCTCCACCCAGCCACGCCTGCAGCTCCACCCAGCCACGCCTGCAGCCCCTACCTCTTTGAAGGTTTCACCTAGTACCACGGTCCCTGCTGTAAACTCTGTTCCTGAGGACTGGGCTGAGCGAGGAGCCGTCACATCTGACTTTGTGGCTTTTGTGTCTACCCAGAATGCTCGTCTCGGGGTAAGAACGGCACAGAACAGGGTGAGCTTCCCCGAGGGACTGACTGTCTTGCTAAATGACCTACCTAACGTGCATATTCCCATCTGCCCGTGGGCGTCAGCTCGGTAGCGATCTGTGAGAATCTCCCACGCCCTGAGCCCACAATGGTGGTTTATTAAAAATAAACTAACTACAGAATACATCAATTCCTAACCTCCCAGGACGATTTGTTTCTAGGCAGAAAGAACTTCAACAAATGGACTCTTGCCCACTCTTCCGCCCACTGAAACTCTGGAATTTTCGTTGGAGGGGTTAGCAAGGAGATCAAGAAACAAAATTATTGACCCAGGTGCTCTGACACTCGCCTGGTGGGAAGATCGGAAGTTCAAGGTCATACCCAACCACGTCCTGAGTTCCAGGCTGGTCTGGGCTACGTAAAACACTTATCTCAAAAACACAAGCAAACAAACAAAAACAATTAAAAAAAAAACCCTAGGCTGGCAAGATGGTTCAGAGTAAGGGGACACTGAGGCCCTGAGTTTGAGACACACGTGATAGAAAACGCTCACGAGTTGTCTTCTGCCCGCACACTCACACGGAGGCACACAGCAATACTAAATAAATAATGAGCAACTGAGAATGAGAGATGCGGAGGAAAAGACAGCGGAGCTATTAAACCGGACCTGATAACCAATGCCTGGAATGCCAACTCTTAGGAACCCGAGGCAGGAGAATTTCTATGAGTGTTCGACCAGCCTAGGGACAAAATGTGACTCTGTCTCAAAAACAAAACAAAACAAAAAACCGGCCTTTTTTCGTCCAGCAGTAGGGAGGCAGAGGCAGTTGGATCTCTGTGAGTTCAAGGCCAGCCTGGTTGGTCTACTTGAGCTAGTTCCAGGACAGGCTCCAAAGCTACAGAAAAACCCCGTCTCAAGAAACAAACAAACCAAAAAATCGAAAAGCAAATAAAACCTTCATTAAATCTCACCTAACACTGCTTAGATTTGTGTGTCTGAAGAAAATCTTGAGTCTACTAACATGAGGGACTAGAATAGAATGTTTCCAACACTCAGGTCTCCCTTCTACTCTGGAAGCAACAGGTGACCCTGGACCACCTCATTGGTGCCTTCAAACACGTGACCCCTCCAATCAGGAGCAAGGAAGGGGCCTGTAGCTGCAGGTGGAAGCTGCCATGGCAACCGTGAGTTCCAGGGGCTGTGTGAAATCCCTAAATGCTGGGATTCCTCATTATGTAAACTATAGGGAAATGGGGGTGAATTTGGGACTCTTGGCATGGACCAGTCCTCCTACTACTAGAAAAGCAGAGACAGGAGGCCAGCCTGGATAACCTAGACTTCTCTCAGAATCCCCCAGTGAGGGGGCTGGGGGCGTGGTTAGGGTGGAGCCCCACCTAGAGTCCCCCAGTGAGGGGGCTGGGGGCGTGGTCAGGGTGGAGCCCCACCTAGAGTCCCCCAGTGAGGGGGCTGGAGGCGTGGTCAGGGTGGAGCCCCACCTAGAATCCCCAGTGAGGGGGCTGGGGGCGTGGTCAGGGTGGAGC